TTGATAACTTTTATGACGTCATCTGTATGCCTAAACCACTGGCCTAAACATACATCAATTACAAGATTCCTAAAATTAATAGGTTGTCTGGTAATGGTAATGGGTAACTTGATGACGCATCTGCGGTGCCCGGGGTGCCTTATGGAGATTTGCATTATGTTGACGCACCTCGGATGATGTCATCAGTTATCAGGCAGCTTACCTCTCTGAAATAACCTTGCATCAATTAAAGGCGTTTGACCATGTCATTGATATCCTTACTATCTCAGAGATAACGTATTTCCGTACACACCCTGTTTGAAAGCGACACTTTTTTAAACATGAAATTACGCAACTTTCCCCTAATTCGATCAACCCTGTATCTCTAATCATTTCCGGATGTGGCTCAAATTTGAAACACCCTGTACATTTGACAGATATTTTTTTTTTGACTAATTGTTAATAAAAGACAAGGATACAAAGACTTTCGACACATGAGCTGAACAAAGATAGATATATTTTTGTTGAATCATATTTACTAAGATGAGAACAGGGATGCCAATCTTTCACAAAAGAATCGATTCAGAACGGAATTCAAAAAATCGATCCTAGAAAAAAATCGGTCATAAAAGAATCGATTCTTGAAAAATCGATTTTCGATTCTTTTTGAAACTTGTTCAAAACGGGTTTGAAATAGTACAGTCAGTCATGAGCATAAAAAGTGGGAGCTCATCAGCTATACCTACGGCAATGACAGGGATTGTCATATTTGACAAAAAATCCATTGTAGAGAAAAGACTGATTTACCCAAAATAGCGAAAAATGACAAGACCTATCAGTTGGGTGTCCCACTTTTTATGCTCACGACTGTACATTCTCGAGATGAACCCATGACGACACATCAAAATTGGTTCAAACTGTTTCGAAATACAATCCAATCCACGTTTTTGAACCATAAATAAATTATTTTTATATTTAAAATACTTTTATATATCTGTTTAAATATCTATAAATACCCATTTTTTTCTTTTAAATATCATTCAATTACTTTTAAATACCCTAATAATCAATTTTGGTGTTCACTTTTTCAACATTTGCACACCCCTCGGCCCTCGGTCTTTGCCTAAAACCAAGGTTGTTTGAACCACATAAAAAATCAATCTTCATAAAACAAAAATAAATATATAATATCGAAACAAAAAAATTAATTATGGTGTGGTGTGCTTAGACCACACGAGTCACACGACTGGATGAAATGAAAACTTCAAAAATCAAAATGATTAAAAACGTTGGATAAACAAACATCACAAATGCTTGACCGTTGCCGCCATATTGAATCCTGGCATTTGTGGTTTGGATCCAAGGATAATACACGCTATTAGGATTGGAAGGATGATGCCCACTACTACTACAGGATAGCCTATCTTCATAAGGCCTGTGTGGAACCCCAAGTCAAATCACCAACTGTGACGTAAGCAGCATGTTATTTTTCGCCTTGAAGTAGGCTGTTTAAAAGTCTGACGACATAAGGTGGGTTTATACAGCACATAACATAACATAAGAAATAAGATAAAATAAGACATAACATAATATAAGAAATAAGAATTTTGTGGCGTTTATACAGAAAATAACATAACATAAGAAATAATTTCTAACCAATCAGCTGGTATGTGTACTTATGTAAACTCTACTGAAAACACTATATTTGATCAAAAAAATTATTAATTAATAAGTAAATTAGCAGAAACAGAAAATAAATATCGAATTCCAAAAAATTACCAATAGCTGAAAACAGAATCAAAATATTTTTTTTTGGTTGGAATGTTTTGTTTACTACTCTGCCATTGCTGAAATCAAGGGAGGAGCATGCGCAGATCCGTTTTCACATAAAATAAGACATAAAAGTTAAAAGTTAACCAACTTTCTTACAGTGGCGACGCGTGACTTGCAGTTTGGGGGGGGGGTAATGGGAAGATGCGACCCCCCGCTAACGCGCCGCAGCCCGCAGGCGAAATTTTTTGCCAATTTCAAGGTCATTCACTTTTCCAGAAAAATAAAACAAAAAAAAAATGTATTTTCTTTAATATTAATATGTATTTTCTTTTGGGCATCGTAATTTTTCCCTTGAATTTTGGATCCTGGGGGGGGTAATTACCCCCATTACCCCCCCCCCCGACGCGACGCCCCTGCTTTCTTATTTCTGATGCTAAGTTATGTTATGTTATTTTCTGTATAAACGCCATAAGGGGTTTCCATAGGGTCAACTTTTTATCTTATGTTATGTTATTTCTTATGTTATGTTATGTGGTTGTATAAACCCACCTTTAGTTATGACGTCGGAAATGGTGACACACCAATATGGCGGCGATTACCAAAAACGAGGCTGATAAGCAATCTTGTAGGTTTGTATCATCCTTGCTAGGAGGATTGCTTATCGGCCTCGTTTTTGGTAATCGCTGCCATATTGGTGTATCACCATTGCCCACTTCATTAACTAAGTCGTCAGCTGTTTGCGCCAGCGGTCGTAGTTTAGAATTTAAATTATTGATGAAAAACTTTATTCAATTTTAATTAACATAATAGGGAAATAGGAAGATGCAAACGAGATGTAAAAAATAGTTGTTTTAGAATGTTAATTATTGTAGTAAAATCAAGTATGCATAAAGCAAAAGCCCGCGGAATCATAAACTGTGGTGGATACGTCACAACTGGTGATGTGGCGTGGTGGGGTCAGTGTTGCCAGACGTACGATAATTATCGTATTTATACGATAATTACAACAAGGTACGATGTACGATCGATAATGGATAAATGTACGATAATTTCTGAATGTTGATAAATTTTGAAAAAGATACACTGAAATCGCTGGAGGTTTATTAAAAATTAAAATACCAGCTCTTTTTTCCAGTGTCTGAATTATTGCAAGGGGTAGGGGATAACAGAAATGAGTAGTTTTTTTATTTTTTTTTTCTAAATGTTTTTTTAATGAAATTATTTTGCAAATACAACTTAACCCCTTCAATTTAAGGGGGCCACCAGCCTCCGATGACGTCAAACTTGTAAAGTCAGTTTTGTACGATAAAATCATGCAAAAAACGATAATTTCTACAGCATTGTACCATAATTTGGTTCTGGTCATCTGGGCTGGAACTCTGTAACGAATAAGAGATGTTTTCTCTATCTCTATTGAAGTCCCCTCTTTATTGATTCCGGAAAGAGAGAAAAAGACAGCAAGTGCCATAGCGATAGGGATAACGATCTCTATCCGTTACAGAGTCCTAGTCCTGGCAACACTGGGTGGGGTGGGGGGCTTCAGATTTCTTCCACACAGACCTTATAAGGATAGGCTATCTTGTAGTAGAAGTGTGTATTATCCTTGTAAACATACATCAATTACAAGGTTCCTAAAGTTAATAGGTTGTCTGGTAATGGCTAACTTGATGACACATCTGGGGTGGCCTATGGAGATTCGCATTATGTTGAGGCTCCCCCGATGACGTCATACAGTTATCAGGGGTGGGACTCTGTGACGAATAGCGATCAATATCTCTATCTCTATTGACGTCTCCTCTCTATTGATTTCGACAAGGGAGAAGAAGAAAGCAAGTGCCATAGCGATAGGAATAACGATCAGGGAACTTGCACATTAAATTAAATATGGAATAAATAATAAAACACAATAATAATCATCCTAATAAATGATGCAATTAGGAAAAAAATATAATATCTTATCTCTGGAGTCCAAAATCTTCAATTGAAAATACCAAATAATTCGAAATTTATGACGCGATCAAAAACGTGTTTCTATGGGTCGTGACGTCACAAGGCAGTAATAATCGGGTCGCGCCGCTGCCACGTCATGTGCTGCTGGTGCCGCTAATGTCAAATCTATAAGAAACTGCATACATAACAACATAACCATAATCTAAATCTACCTGCTCGAAGTTCGAAGTGCTCGTCACTATCATCGGAATTTTGTTGCCGAGTGACGTCACACCAATCGGTCGTTTCAAATGGCGATGTTTTGAGCGTAACTTCAAATATTTATAAAAAATTAACTGCTGATTTTTAATGCTTGATATTTGGCATGACTATGTCTTTGGTGTGAAACAAAAAAAAATGTGCAAGTTCCCTATTGAAGGCGTTTAATTGGTTAGTCACAGACCACAGTTGACAGATAACCAATGAAGAAAACGCCATTTGCCAACCAATCGGTATTAAATGACGTTAACTGCAGTGTTCATCTGTCAATATAATGGAGTGGTTAATCGCCCTTAATTTACTTGATGAAAATCTCCATCAGAACTACCGGATGACGTCATCTGTTTGCAATTATCAGCCAACCTTTTGCAAGCAATTAAAATTTTGCCAATAATAACGGCAACATCGCCGATTCAATCCAAATCGCGCTATCTCTCTCTCTCTCTCTCTCTCGCACTACTCATTGTTTCTTTTTCTCGCTTGGCTTAACTTGACTCAAACCGATCAATTCAAGGAAAAAAAAATCGATTATACAAAAAAATCGATATTAAAAAAATCGAGGAATAAATCGATTTTCGAAAAAATCGATTAAAAAGCCGATCCCTGGATGAGATGAGAAATTTGGCATCCTCGCATTTTTTTTATTTGGGGACTCTGACGTCACAGTCCTAACCTGCCTTTTCGCAGCAGTTCAAAAATTCGATTTTCAAAAATAAACGTTCCATTTTCTGGAAAAAAAAGTACACAGATGTATTCCCAAATAATAACAATCTAGGATACACTAATCGGAGCTAAGAAGAACGACTCTAGCTAATGGCTCTAATTTCTGTTATTTCAAGTAGGTATAAGAAAACGCACTTATCAGTTATCAGTGGTAAAATAATTATACTCTAGCAGTAAAAATGCCTGTCTAGATTTCCATGCCGTATTCTATCAATCAAAATGCTAAAACGGTATTTACATAAGACCCAAATCCCGTGGAGATTCTTATCAAATCATAAGCCATAAGATCTCCATATTTAATAATTGATTTTGTTTACCTTGGGAATATTTTCTACCTGGCACAATCCTTCGGGAACATTTCAATTTGAAAAACTTTCCTACTCATCAAGTGCCCATCACAATAGGTAAATCTCATCACATTCCTCCTGCCCAAAGTCTATTGTTCAACAACAAAAAAATCACACTAAAAAAACATTTAAAAATGGATTTTTTTATGACACAAATTTTAAACTAGTTCAATTAGCATATCAGCAAAATGACGGGAAGATGTTTGAGATGTGAAATTTTCTTATAATTAGTCATGCTTTTAAAACCCATAAAAAGGAGGAGAAATAAAACCAGCCACAGACTCCGGGAATTTGAGTTGACTGCAGTAAACAAAACACGATTCTAGCTAGATTCTATCTAGAGCCTAGGAGGCCACGATTGGTAATGCTACGTTGCCAGATTCATTATTTAGTAACAATGTTTCTTTTTACTATAAATTTGTTTGGAAGTTTAAATGCAAAATTATGTGAACTTTATAGGAAACATTATTTTTTATTTTAATTTAATATAAAGCTTATCTTAAAGAAGCTTTTATCAGTTTGTCTTGAGTATCTTGTGGCAACATCAATGCACTCGATTATGGTGACTTCATAATATCTAACCGAAGGACAAAAATGATAGATTTTGATAGAGCAAAGGTGAAAAGGGAAGGTGTGCTTCATCAGCTTCATCTATACAGCGCACGCTTTTAATTTAACTTCCTAATTTGGTTGCATTTCGCATTTATGCACTTTTGCTTTTTCTATTGCAACCTTTTTGAAATAATTAATTGCAAATTAAATTAGCATCAGTTGTTGTTGGTAAATGATTCAGTTTTATTGGAAATAATTAGTTGTAAAAGTAATTAAATTCAATTACACTTCTAGCGTAACATTTGAAATAAAACCTTTTTGGATCCTTGGACCCTTGATCCTTGATGTCTTCTTTTTTGTGTTGGCTTTTGCTACCAAATCAAAATCAATTTTTTATTATTTGGCAACATTGCATAATGATCTTTTCTTTGTTATGGCTTTTGCAACCCAGTGTCAAAATCGCAACCTACCATCATCTTTTTAACATCTTGCAACATTGCAGAAGGCTGTAATGAAAACGTATTCCAAAACTTTAGAATCACCTTCTCTACATTTAAAATCGACGAAAGCTTGAATCGCAAGCATTTCGTTGAGGTCTGCGGGTGACGTCACCACTATTAGCTGCTGATAGTGGTGAAGTCACCTGCAGACCTGCTGCCGACTCGAGAATTGGCGAACGTATTTACGCCTTATTAGGATGAACAATCCTGTTTGGTGGAGTATTGTTCTTAAGTTATTCACCTAACAAATGTGGAAAGTCATACATTACCGCACGCAAATGTCGAGCCGTACAGGCAGTAAAGGCACTTTCTGCATGTGTTAGGCACATAATTTGACCTATGAGCATCTACATCTCCAAAAAAAGGCATAGGTACCTACCTATCTAATATTGAAATTTCTGATAGTGAAGGGATTTTTGATTATTACCACTCTACCGTACAGTGTGCGGTAAAGTGCTACTTTCCACTTGCGGTAAAAGGCAATTTTCCTCAGGGCATCATAATTGTTTTATTTTTCCATTTTGCACAAAGCTTTTCTTTGCCTATTCCTGTCATTCCTGATTTTTTTTTTAAGTAGGTAATAGAGACAACTGTTTATAAATTCTCAAATTCCTTGGCGCTTTTATGTGTTTACTTTGTCGATGTTCCAGAACAATAACAAGTAAAAATTTTCTCTCATAGACGAGTTAAAATGATGAAAAACAGAAATGCAATCAATCTAAAACTTTACAATTTTTAAAATCGACTATTCGGCAAAATAATTTTAATACAAAATACTGAGGAAATTTTATGCCAGGAATAAAATCTCTCGTTTATCAAAATCATTGATGTGTTTTCGTTACAAGGAATCACTGCCAGATGAATTATATATTTTAAAAACCAATCACCCAGATTCGAATAAATCAAGCTTGTCCATGTTTTTACGTGGGCGCCAATAAGAAATTTTTCAATTTCGAATTAACATTCCTCGTACATTTAGTAGTCCGATGTTGTTATTTTTTTTTTAAGTAGAAATTACGGCACGGTCGTGACTCCAAATTTAGACCTGCAAAAGTTGTTCATTTTTATTTGCGTGCATGATTTTTGCCTCTGAAGTATGACTCGGCGTGATTTGAAACAAATATAGTTTTTGGGTTTTTCTTTTTAAATAAAATCTTTGGTCAGAAAGCAGCGAAATTCTGGATCCTATATAATTATGTATATTTGTCTTTAGGTTTTCATCTGTTGAAAAAACACCAGACTTTGCAAAATGTATACCCATCAAAATACTTTTCCAAAAGCCATATGGAATCTCTAATGTTCGTTAACAATAATGCTTTTCATCTCATCGTAAGATAATTAACATGAACTTTAACGAGTACTGAGATCTAACGGGGATTCTTTAATTTGAAAATAGGTATATGCCTATGGATTCGATCCATATTTTTGATATAAAACTGTGGCTACACCAGTTGTCCAAAACTATTCAATAAAAAATATGTTATACAAAAAAACATTGTTAACTGCACTGACTTTTTGATTTTTTTTCTAAATCTATTTATTATATACCTGACTGAAAAAAAAGTTGAAAGTCATATCTAAATCATAACTGGGTTATGATTTAGAATTTTAAAAAAATGATAAATCACTGCAGTTCTCAAATGTTTTGTCTCTATGCTGTTAAAATTCTAAATAAATTCGTAAACCAGAAGATCCCTAGTTTTTTTCCAAAAATGTTAGTGTAGTCCGAAAATTCTATCCTGTACATGCTTTCTTTACCCTTTGCCTGATATGAGAGGTGCACGAAGGAAAAGAAGGGTACACTTGATTAGGTTCTATTATGGGCCATAAATAATTTGTGGAAATCATTTTAGTACTTACTAATGATTTAGGATTTTGAGAAACTTTGAAAACCCATACTTTTTTTTTCTATTATAGATAGAAAGCTGAAATTTTCATTGATTCTTATCCCAGTAGAGGACTACAATTCCTGAAAATTTCAGCTCATTTGGACTTATAGTTCCAGAAATAAAATCGCGTTAAGCAATTTGGGGTAAATTTGTCAATTTTTCAACTTTCTGAGTGCCTTTTTTATAGATTTCGGCTTCCAATCCAAGAATAATTTACTGTATGGCGTTTGGGGGGTCCCCAAAGATCATTTAGACACAAATTCTCAACATAAAAAATTTTGAAATTTCATCATTTTAGTAGTAATTTAAGGTAGCTACGTTATGATTTGGATTTTTAAAAACTTTGAAGATCCATAATTTTTTTTTTCTACTACCGTGCGTAAAGTACTCACTTTACGCACTATTCAGAAGATGTAAAATTTCACTTCACGCACTAGTGCGTAAAGTAATTCACTTCACACACTAGTGCGTAAAGTAATGTCAATGACAGATGTCAACACTGTCAATCTGGCATTTTTCTGGAAAATTACTTCATAAAGTGAAAATTCTTCACGCACTAGTGTGTAAAGTATTTGTCCAAATCTATTTTTTTATACATATTTGATTGGTAGGTACTAGAAAAATTTTTGAATGCAATACGTGCGTAAAGCACCTTTTTTCACTCATATGATTGTCGCACTCGCCTTCGGCTCGTGCGTCAAAATTCACATTCGTGAAAAAAGGTTCACTTTACACACTTGTTGCATAAATAACTATTTTATTATAGATAGAAAACGGAGATTCTCAGCGATTCTTATCCCAGTGGAGGACAACAGTCCCTGGAAATTTCAGCTCATTTGGACTTATAGTTCCAGAAATAAAATCGCATTAAGCAATTTGGGGTATATTTATCAATTTTTCAACTTCCTGAGTGCCTTTTTTCATAGATTTCGGCTTCACATCTCAGAATAATTTAGTGTATAGAGTTTAGTGGGTCCAAACCCTCAATGGTCCCAACTGATTATACATATAAATGCAAAATCTCAACATAAAAAAAAAAATTGAAATTTCATCATTTTAGGACTAAACCTTGATTTGGAGGAAACATAAGTTTTAAAAGGAGACAAATTATATAATTTTTACTTCTTCAAATTTTTGTTTTGTCGTGGTATAATACCTAAAAATCCTAAATTATTAATTATAGAGGGATTAATATCCAGTTAAATATTAATACAGTTGTTGTGCAATTGACTCTACCTACTTTATTTCACTGGGTACCACCCTACCTGAAATAGTTATGTTTAATGTTTTATCTACAAGCGTTTGGTTATGACGTTTTTACCTAACTATTTTTCTAGTATTTGAGTTGTGTCATGAGACTCATAACACAACTAGTGGTGTTATAGACTAGGTTATGAAATCATAACACAACTAGTGGTGTTATGGACGAGGTTATGAATCTATAACACAACTATTTTTGGTGATTTGACAAATGTCAAAGGTAAACCTGCAAAGGTAAAATGAAGGTAGAAAACTACTAATAAACGAAAATAATTGAAAAAACATTCCTATTTTTCGCTTTGTAGATAAAACGTTGTACATCACACGTGCGTTTAAACATGACTACAAAACTCGTGTGATTAGAACGACTCGGTCTACGACCTCGTCGTTTTAATCTTTCACACTCGTTATTGTAATCATGTTCATAAACGCACTTGTGATGTAAATAACTATTATCCACAAGCGTTTGGTTATGACGTTTTTACACAACCATTTTTCTATAGTATTTGAGTTATGTCATGAAACTCATAACAGAACAGTGGTGTTATGGACTAGGTAAAGTGTGTTTTTTTTTTAAAGATAAAAGTCAAAATGACATTATGTTGGCAATACAATGTAAAATTGTCAATGCTTTCAAATTTTTATGTAGAAAAGGCTTGTGTTGCTAACATAGTTACTAAACTTTTGACTTGGGGAATTATCTTTAAAAAAAAAAAACTAATGAATTCATAACACAACTAGTGGTGTTATGGACTAGGTCAGTGCTGTCCAACAAGAGGCCCGCGGGTCGCATGCGGCTCATATGGCAGCACTTTTTGCGGCCCGCGGAGCAGCCCCCTAAATTTATAAATTACTTTCAAATATGAAATATGCACAATTCTTACATTCACGATAAAATGCAAATAAAAAGACATGTGACGCCACTGGCGAAGGATAGAAGGTCGCAGGGAAATTGCTGGAATTTGGACCGATATTGATGCTCGACAATATTCGGAAAGCCACGCGGCACGAGCGCGCACGTATATCGTATTATCCGTTCACAATCCGATGTCCACAGGTACAGGTAAAATGTATCACCTTTCAATGCTGTTTGATAGGGAAAGGTAATAAATTTA